GTGCCGGCCTGTCGCGTGGGGCTATAGCCAATAAAACAGTAGGAGAGTTTGCTTGCAATTCCCTTTCTTCCTGTATTTGGACATATGAGTTCCTTTCTTCCACGACATATGTTGGAACGCTCGGGGACCGATGTGCCACGTGAAAAAACACGCTCAGGCGTTGTCGAAGGAGGCTGGCGAGTGATGACCCAAAGGCTTGGTGGTCATGCTGAGTCTTGTCTCGGGTCCCAAAAACAGCGTTCCAAAATCGGAGCTGAAAAGACGTTTGAAAACATACATGCGAGGAAAGCAAAGAAGCAAAGAGTTTGGGACCTGGCAATTCATGGTGTACAGTACCATGTCGCCGTGTCTCATGGTGATTGAATCTGGGATTGTGTGCACTGCAGTTCGCAGTTGCGAGCGCATCATGGCTTCGACGTGGTTTGCTGCCTTTAGTTAGAATCTTTCAGCGCATTTCAGCGCAATCGAAACCTGGGTGGATAGAGTGATCCCATTTCCCTGCATGGGTAACAAGCGAACCTCGGCTGATTTCGTGGGATGGAAAATGGCATGACCTAGAGGTAGGAGCCGCTCTTGCTTTCATGCTTTCAGGAGAGGAGTATCTGGTTTCGATTGGGGTTTCTCTCGGAGTGTTCATCGCACCTGAAAGTTCAGGGCGGAGCAAGCTGGATGAACCCCGCTCGCTTTGACCCCCTTGCCCTCTGCTGAGTTTCAGGCCAAGCCAGCTTAGTAGACAGCCAGCCAGGCTGTAAATTCAAAGACCCACCGAGCACTGAGCTTCTCGATTTCCAACCTCCAGTGTGCAAATAGTTAGCACCTTCCTGGGAAAGGATTTGTCCACTGAGGTGAAGAATGCATGGCCATTTCAGTAACACACGGTGTGGCCGTATGCATAGGCACCCTGTCTCAAGTGATGCAGGCTGCACCTCTTTGTACATTGCCAGACTGTCAGAAGCCAAGTCACATGTAGACTGGCTTCGTTTGCCAGGCACAGGGACCCCCGGATTCCTGATCGACTTTGAGCGCTGGCCAGACGTAAAAGTTGGTCACATGTTGCGGATAGGGAAGCCGGGGGGTACAATCTGGTCAGAGCCTGAAAGGCATACGCACTGGAGCCCTTTTGCCTCGGACTCGCGAGTCCGAGGCCGAAACGAGTGCGAGTTGAGGCCCTCGGTGGCCGAACGCCTTCCAGGCCCAATGACTGCACGTAATCAAAGGGGGGTTTGAGGCGCAAGCCCTCAGCCCGTTTCGTCTGGGGACACGATAGTGAGATCCACTCCAAACACCAGGTTTGTTTGTGGGACACTTGTGTATTGGTGTGTGGCTGTTTGGTCCAATCCCAGTTTGCCACAAGTCTACCCACAAACATGTAGGTGTTTGGAGCGGCGGTTTGTTGCTCTGCAAGTCAAGTCAAGATCAAACTGTGTGCCATCGTTTGGCTTTCCGTTTCGAGGACCCCAGGGCCGACCTCTGTGACAATCAGTCCGGCCTACTTGAACAGCTGGGTGCAACAAAGGTACCTTCAGCTGACGTGTCAGGTCCCGTCCCGCGTCCCCGCAAGTTTCCGGCTCGTTTCTGGACGTGCGCACCCCTCGTTCGAGCCACTCTTGGAGCACCTCGAGCCCTCACGAGCGAGCTCGGCACTCCTCTGCAAGTTTAGGCCAGTTTCCCTTGTTTCGACTTCCAAGATCGCATCGATGCGGAAAAAGCGTTTTCCCCTCTGTGTTTTTCGTTGTTTTTATTCTGTGGTTTTCTTTGTTTTTATTATTTTCCCGATTTGGCGAAACGGGTTAAGTGAATTCGGCGAAAAAACCTAAAACGTGTTAACCCCAGAAACACCCTGTTTTGTTTTAGGTTTTTCACCGATGCGGACAAAGCCTAACGATCGATTCGGCGGTTCGGCGATTGCGGCGATCGCCTTTTGTCAAGACGGCATCGCTCAGGTCCAGGCAGCTCGATCGGACGAGGACTTGCAGGAGAAAAGGGGCCTTAGGGGCTGACCGCCTGGCTGAAAACAGATGCATCGAATGCCAATTCGCCAGCAACTTGAATTGAAACGTTTTGTTCCATACTCGGCCCAGAGAGGGCCCCTTGGTACTGGTACCTTCTGAGGTACTTAGCCCCGTACCCACCAAAAGCCATGAGGTACCAAGGGACCCTCTCAGGTTTCGTCCCTTTTGAGTCCAGAACTGCCCGCTGATCGCCACCTGCTTGGCCGACGTCGCCACGGGCGTGGCGCCCTACCTGGAGACGGAGCTGCTGCTGGCGACCCACCCACTGCGCGCTGGACGTACCGTGGATGGACGAAATCCATTTCGCGTCAATTTGAAGCCACGGTTGAAACCTCGTGTTTCCAGAAAAACAAGAAGAAGAAAACACGTGTTTTCGGGGGTATGACATGTTTAGGGGTTTTTGGGTCTGCTGGCCTCTGCTGGTATGGGAAACCACAACGTTTGGTGTTTGCAGGGGAATCATCAGAAACCAGGGTTTCTGAACGGTGGTGCGAAATGGATTCTGTCCATCCACATGTCTCGCTTCCCGACTTCGTTCCGTGTCGGAGTTGAGAATCTCACTTGTTGCGCCTCGGATTGGTTTGTCCAAAAGTGGAGATTATTTTTTGGCCATCACTTTGTGTTGGACCATTTTGGTCAAAAAGTGTGGATCGGACTTTCCTTTCACTTTTGGCGCTTGGACCATTTTTTTGTCAGAAAGTGTGGATTATTTTTGTCCACCAATCTCGGAAGTGAGTTGGGAACACGGGCCATGAGCGCTGTCCGGCTGGGCTCAAGGGAACTTCGCCACGGAGGCGCGTCCTGCCATGCGGTCAGACCGCGCAGCGGAGCGGCGACAGCTGCGGCGGAGCATCGCCTCTTGGACGAAGGGTGGCCAGGCGTTCGGGTATATAAGTATCCTGGGTGCAGGGTGTCCGAAAGGCGAAAAGTGTTTAGCATGCGTTTCGGGTAAGTAGCCCAGGTGCCAGGTGTCCGAAAGGCGACAAGTGTTGCATGCTGTGTGTTGGATTTGTCCAGACCCTCGAGAAAACCAGCAACCAAGCTTTGCGCGTCATGGAATACAATATCAGACGTGAAGAGGGGATGAATCGCTTGAGAGGCCAGAGGGACAGCTTGACAATCTGAGCACAATATCGACTGAATTGCGCTGGCTGCATGCTTTGTGAATGCTGCCTTTGTCCCCAGCATTTGTTTGTAGTACCACTGATGTTTCATAGATGCAAAGCATACGTCTGTCAAGTTGTGTATTTGTTTATTGTAGAGCGGCGCAGTTGGGTAAAAGAAGCTACAGACACAAGTATGATTGCACATGTTCACGGTCCGTCTCATGTTTCCTTTCCAGGAGGAGGCCCGCCGCAAGTGCGAGCAGAAGGAGGCAAAAGAGCAAGTGGATTGGTGGGATGGATCCGCCTCTTGGTCACACAGCCTACCCTCGTCTACCGTGCTAGCTGTTGACTTCCGTTTGGGGAAGTAGCGAGAGCAGAATGGGTCGGTCATGCAGATGACAAATGACATGACGCCTGCACAAACCTCGCAAGAAGCCAAACAACCAATAAACCGAACAACCAACCTCATGTGGGACACAGGAACAGCAAGTGTGGGCCGTACCAGCGAGCAGTCGATGACTAGCAGTCGAATTGTTGGCGGGGGGGAGGGATCGGCCACTGAGACCACTAAGCCTTACACTGAAGCTGCAATAAAATCGGCTCTCGACCATGCCCACCGATCCGGGTTGATCAGGTGCACTTCAAACGCAAAAACAACTTGTCGGTTCTTTGGCGGAGCCTGTTGATCATACAGGACAATGTCCCAAATCAGGGTCGCCTTGGGGGCAACAGCGGGATCGTTCTGCTGGGGCTTGTCAAACATCGCCAGGAATTCACCTGGGTATGGGTCAAGATTCAACCACCAGGGTTCCATTTTGGCTACCCATCTTTGACCCACCATTCACCTTTCCTTGGGCAGTTGCTTCACGGACATCGCCAAGGTACCGGCGGAGGCATCGGAGCAATTGGAGCAGAAGCTCCTGCAGCGTCTGGGCACAATCTGGGACCTGGCAAAGTGGGCTGTGGCAGGTTGGGTTCCATTTAATTAAGAATATTTTGTTATTTTCCCCTGTTGGTCTTAAAGGGAATCTATCACTACTGGAAATATTTGTGTTTTTGTCCAGGGGACTTAAGCAAATGGAGGTTGGGCGGCAATGCAGCCACCCAAGTTGCATGAAATCTCAAGACTGAGGGCAGTGAGATGCCAAGTTTCAGCCTGCCACTTTCATGGACACGTGAATCAGCTTTCTATCCATCTAGAACCCCATGTCAATGCGTTTTGCAGGCTGCTCGTGTGAGGTTGTGTCATGACTCCCTTTGTGTGCGGTGCCCTTGGGGCCCCGGTACGTGGACTGACTGCATATCCCCAGAGGGCGCAATGGTGCTATTCCCCATGTCCCTAAAAGGTATCGTACGTTGACAATGGCTCATGTCATTTCGGCCGGACGTTTGTGTCCACCTTTCTTCACAGGTTCCAATTTGAAAAGTCTGGATGGCTGTGAGGCCCGCAGAAGCCCGCCCGTTGCATTGGTGCAGTTGTTGTTGTTCTTTTGTTTTCTTTTTTTTTCCGGCCCCGCATGGCCCCGCACTTGTCCAAGAGATGTCTGGTTTTCGGCCTGAAGCAAATGTTCCTGAGGAAGCTGCTAACCGCTGCCGAGCCGAGCGTAGAGAATCTTGGCCAAACTTCCGCGGGAGGGACTCAGTTCTGAAGCCCCAAGCAGCCAAGCAGCCAAGGCACGAGTGCGAGACGCCCCGGCCACCGCTGAGTGAGGAGATTTTATCCCTCGCAGGCAGGCATGGCACTTGGAATGAGTCGCACACCACTCATGCGGTGCCGTTGCAGGTTTGCTCGCTGCGAAGGACTGACAGCTACATCCCTCTTGCTTCGGTGCACTGAAACCACAAAAAGGTTGCAGGAAAGGCAGCCACTTTGGCACGAAGCAATTTGTCGCAGGACTCCCATGACAGCCTCAGTGCCACCACAGCCTCACCAAGCATATCAAATCTACTAAAGAGGCCGGAAGCGGGGCGACCATCCATGTTGTCTTTTTGATGTCCTATGCAGGTCACAACAGTTTGCGGTTGGTCAGCTTTTCCATTAGCTCAGGTGACCAAGCATTACCCTTGCCCCTGAGAGAGAAAAAAGAAGTTTTGCCATTGGTGGGGGACTGTATCATTGGGTGAAGTCGAAGGGCTTTGGATCAGGTCTGAACTGCGTCAGCTTTTGCACCGCGAGGTGTGAGGACGAGCATCCAGAGGCCAACTCGCCCGAAGGATGATTTGTGCATGCTCCGCGGCGAAGCCTGGAGCGAAAACGTGTGGCTCAGAACTGGTTTTTCCCTTGGAACCTTGCAATGTGTCCTTATGGAAGAGATTATATCATCTTTTGGTGGTAAACAAAAAGTTTGGACTTTTCTTAGGCCATCCACTCAGCAAGTGAGCATACGCATGCGAGATGACACTCGCATGTCCAAGGTTGACTCATCTTGCAGAGAAGGGCGGCCGGGATTTCCTCGAGGACGCACAGCTTCATTTGTGCGCCAGAATTCGCTCCCCTCTTTGCTTTTTTGAGGTCCCTTTGTTTTCCACTCACCAGGCAAAAAAAATAATACAAATGCTGGGGTCCTAATTCCAGCCTAGATTTGTGCCCGACACCGCAGGGGTTTATTGGGTGCGATTGCCGTTTTTTGGGATCAGTGCTCCCAACTGGCCCACGAGGCCCTTTTTGCCGCCCCTCGCCACTTTGCCCTCGGAGGCCAAGGTTCCTTACATGCGATGGTTGTCAAACGCGCCGCGCACATTCAGGCATCGATCTGAATTTGGGCCGACTGGCCAAGACTAAGAGTGTGTCTCTTGATTGAGCTGGACAACCAGCACATCCACAGAGGTGCAGCAAGCCCAGATGCTCGATTGAAGCTTTCATAGAGCCCCCACGTTTCTGCTCTCTCTGCTGCACCTCGCAAACTTATATCCGCGCCAAATTTCGCACAGGGCATGCCTTTGCATGTCAGTCTTTGTAGCACATGGACTCTTTGTAGCACATGGACAGATGATCCATACATCTTGCGTTGATTGCAGAAAGGAGCGCTTGCGCACGTGCAACGCATTTGCCTGCAACATGTTGCAACCAAGTTGTTCCCTCTCGCAGGGTATGGACGTCTACCGGGAGCGGCTGGTCGCCTGGGCACAGGCTGGGGCTGGCGCGCTCTGACCGTCGGTCAAAACGCGCGGTCTTCCGCGTCAGGAAAGCCAAGGCAGCGACCCCAAAGCCGTGCAAGATGCCATCGCGCAGGCCGGACCTGAGCCGTGCCGTTCGATTCCTTCCGGGCGGCGTGTTCGGTGAGGCCATGAAGGTCAGCGCGGCTGCGCTGGATCAATCTTCCCGAGGCCGGACAGCTGTTGATCTTTTGGTTGCCCGAGGACAAACACATGAGCATATCACATGGAGAACTCCCAATCAGAGTGAATTACAGCTTTTTTGTTCTGCCAAGAAGGTCCCTGAATGCCTTGGCCAGGTTTCGAGGCAAAGCCCCTCAAGGGCCAGGCCTGACGCTCAATGAGTTTCGCGGCAGTTGCTCGCACAGGCCTTTTCTGCGCAATGATCCATCATTTCCCGCAGGGGGGGGCACGGCTTCAAAGACCAGGGCCAAGTCGAATTTCTCCAGTGCCTCAGGAGCGCAGTCTGTCCGCCGGAGGCGCAAGATTCCCACGTTTTGAGGGTATGGAAAAGCAGCTCGTGTTGTTCGAAGCTCCAGGAGACCAACTGCACTCTGCTTGTGACAGGCCGATCCTCGTGGCTGCCCAAGGCGGGGCCGGCTGTCGTCGAAGATCTCGGATCGCTTCCGCGGCGCCAACGGCCGCACCAATTTGCCAAGGTTCAAGGACCAACACACAAGTACACAAGTACACAAGTACACAAACCACAAGCCAGATCGCACTGAAAGCGGACGTGGATTGTGGCATTGATATGTGTTCCGGTTGATTTGGTCAAGAGCAAGTACCAACGCAACGCTTCACTGGCGCACGTGTTTCTTTTTCTCCACTGATGCCGCCTTCCAACCGATGCAGGAAACTTGCAGGCCATCTAGACATCAAGGCAACGCAACGCTTCACTGGCGCACGTTGTTCTTTTTCTCCACTGATGCGGCCTTCCAACCAAGAGTACTCTCCAAAAAGCAGCGCGTCGATGCAGGAAACTTGCAGGCCATCTAGACATCAAGGCAACGCAACGCTTCACTGGCGCACGTTTTCCTTTTTCTCCACTGATGCGGCCTTCCAACCAAGAGTACTCTCCAAAAAGCAGCGCGTCGATGCAGGAAACTTGCAGGCCATCTAGACATCAAGGCAACGCAACGCTTCACTGGCGCACGTTTTTCTTTTTCTCCACTGATGCGGCCTTCCAACCAAGAGTACTCTCCAAAAAGCAGCGCGTCGACGCAGGAAACTTGCAGGCATCTAGACATCAAGGCAACGCAACGCTTTTTTCTTTTTCTCCACTGATGCGGCCTTCCAACCAAGAGTACTCTCCAAAAAGCAGCGCGTCGATGCAGGAAACTTGCAGGCCATCTAGACATTAAGGCAACGCAACGCTTCACTGGCGCACGTTGTTCTTTTTCTCCACTGATGCGGCCTTCCAACCAAGAGTACTCACCAAAAAGCAGCGCGTCGATGCAGGAAACTTGCAGGCCATCTAGACATTAAGGCAACGCAACGCTTCACTGGCGCACGTGTTTCTTTTTCTCCACTGATGCGGCCTTCCAAACAAGAGTACTCACCAAAAAGCAGCGCGACGATGCAAGAAACTTGCAGGCCATCTAGACATTAAGGCAACGCAACGCTTCACTGGCGCACGTTTTCTTTTTCTCCACTGATGCGGCCTTCCAAACAAGAGTACTCACCAAAAAGCAGCGCGTCGATGCAGGAAACTTGCAGGCCATCTAGACATTAAGGCAACGCACCGCTTCACTGGCGCACGTTTTCTTTTTCTCCACTGATGCGGCCTTCCAACCAAGAGTACTCACCAAAAAGCAGCGCGTCAATGCAGGAAACTTGCAGGCCATCCAGACATTAAGGCAACGCAACGCTTCACTGGCGCACGTGTTTCTTTTTCTCCACTGATGCGGCCTTCCAAACAAGAGTACTCACCAAAAAGCAGCGCGTCGATGCAGGAAACTTGCAGGCCATCTAGACATCAAGGCACGCGCTCACACATTAATTCATGCATGGTTAGCTGGCAATCGACTTGTCCATGCACAAACCAAGCCATGATTCGCACAAAGACCGAGCCAACGCAACATTTTACTAGCATAGACCCCAGATAGCATGGGAGATTTGGACGAAGTTGTTTCTATTCTGCTGCGCAAATCCCAAGATGCGGCCAAGCAACATCCCTAACCAGTATCCACAACAGCAGCACTCAAAACAGAAACGACTCATCACCAAATAAGCACCGCCAGCAAGCGCCACAGTAGCAATCAGACCCAGACCACCCACAAAAGCAACCTGGCCTGCCCGTCTTTTGAATAAGACCCGCAGTACTTTTCAGCTGTTTACAAGAGTTGAGCCGGCGCTGCTAAACGTGGCAGTTGCACTTGGGCTTGTTCATCAATTTTTATTGCCACCCAGCACTCGGGTTGGGCAAACAAGTTTGATTGTTGACCAGCAGCCAAGTTTCAATTCTGCTGCATCTCTTTCACTGTCTTGAGGCATTCGTCCGCGAATTCAATGCAGAGGGAGATGAAGCCACGCTCCCAGTCGTTTGTGAGTGCAAAGCAACTGTTTGCTGCATGTGCGTGAAGGTCGAGGCGGATTTGGATGAAGACAGTTCGCCCGTTAAAAAGAAAATCAGATGTTGGAGAGTATTTAACCCTACGTACATTAATGTCCAATGCATTGCGTTACGCTTGATAAAGTGTTTATTTTATGTAGAGAGGCGCCATCTATATGAAGATTGCCTTCTGCCGCGACTTGCAGATACTTCAAACGCGCGTTGATTTGAGAGTTTCCGAAAATGATAATCACGAGTTGGATGACATTCAAGAGAAAACAACAAAGAAGAAACCAAAAAGTTTAGGGAACTATTTCGCGAAACCGAAAGCGGTGGACCAGGGCGGGACGAAACAGGGAGCAACTATTCACCGGGCAACGCAAGGCTTCATTTGTCACGGGCGTACGCTGAATTTCGAAGTAAATTGACAGGCTTCGCGGCGCAGCCAGCCACCGGAAACGCAAGCAAACCGAACATGTCGGCGGCTTTCGAAGTAGATTGAGACGCTTCGCGATGCAGTCAGCCACACGATCCACGCAGGCCAAGTTCAACTTGCGGGGACCGTTGGCCGCCCTGGCTGGCTGAGATTTGGCAACAGGGCATTGTCCGGAAGGATGGAAGATGGGCTCTGCTGATCTGACCTGACATGAGTGGATTCTGTGGGGCCTGACATGAGTGGACTCTGCGCGGAGTCTGAGTAAGCTCCGCGCGGTTTGCCGAAGCGTGTCCTGCATGGAGTCTGACCTAAATGGACTCCATGCTCCGCGCGAGTCTGACCTGAATGGAATTCCGCGCAGACTCTGCGCCGCTTCACGCAGGGTTTGCTTGGTCACACTCCGCGCGGACTCCACTTAGGCCAAGCTCCGCGTGAGGTCAAAATACGCTTCAGTCAGACTGGATCCCATTCTTAGGTCAGACCCCGCGCAGAGTCCACTCAGGTCGGAAAACAGCGTCAAACACGCGCTTTTGCACATTAACTGACACGCGATATTTACTGAGCCGTTTGCCCGGAAGTCGGCCCTCCTTGTCTTCTCACCGCGCCACACCGCTCCCGCCGCTCGACGCTTGCAGAGCTTAACCCCTTGTAGGGCGCGCATCAACCAGTATGCACAAGAGGGTATGATAGTTGCGCCAGCTGGAGGGCCGCTAAGAATGTCAACAGACTGAGGAGATTTTGTTGGGACTGAGTTGGATTTAGGGTAGGCAAGGTCGGTTAAGGGTGGGCTTAAGGTTGGTTTAGGGTAGCTTGAGGGTGTTAAGTTTGGTTTAGGATGGGAAGGGTGAGTTTAGGGCTGCTTTAGCACGCGGCGGCTCAATGCTGCCGGCTGAAAGAAGGGTAGTTGCGACGCAAAAAAAAAAAAAACTTTGAACGCAATCGAGCTCCGCATGCGTCCTTTCCGACTTTTTTGCATGTGCTTAGAGTCGCGTGTTCGTGATTTCAGCACAATGGCACTCGTGTCACCCTACGAGCAACAATCGGCGACGTTCCTGTCCTTAGCTGGTGGAGCGTAGTTGAAGGAGTCAACAGACCGTGGGCCTCCCAAGCCAGGCGCGATGAACGCCTGCGCAAAGGCGTACACCGTTTTGAGCAGGAGGTACTGTAATGGTCACCTGAGCCCACACAAAGAAAGGAAACTCCCAAAGAAAATTTCGAAAGACCCCCTTTGGAAGAAGCTCCCAATGACCCCTTCGGCTTGGTGTTCTTTGAGAAGCACGTCTAGGGACGTGCTCCGTCTTCAAGTACTCAGTGGCTGAGGAGTCGCCAATGCCACACGACTCATCTGTGAAAGCCAAAGGCCCAAGAAACGCTCCTACGCCTCAGCTACCATGTCCCTGATCTCCGCAGTCATCAAAAACGCGCGACCACCGCCATTTTTGGCCGCCTCAAGGGCCTGGCGCCTGGCCTTCGCCCCGGCTGGCTGTAGATCAGGGGAAGGCGATGCGCTGTCGGAGCCCCGAAATCCTCTCGAGCTTTTATCGGTTCCGGAGCCGGCTTGCCCAAAGCGTTCTTACATTCCTTCTTCCATCGTGGCGGCGCTTTGGCCAGAAGAATTTAGGGGAAAAGAAAAGGAATTCTAAATAATATTTCATTTTGTGACAGAGGTTCTGCATAAACACCTGTTTTCATGTTTTGGGTCCAAACGGGCTTAAACCCCCGGACAACCCCCCGAACAACCCTTCGGACAGCTCTGAGGGCCCAAAAGCCCGGGATAAACCGCCGGATAAGTCTTCGTACAGGTTTGGAACACGCCAAAACCACTCAAAAACTAGGAGGGGGGGGTTGTAGCATAAATCTCGGCAAAATTCGCGGACAACCCTCCAGACAACCTTCCAGATAACCCCCTAGATAACTTGCCGGATAGTTGTTTGTCTAGTAACTCTTTGTCCCGCACTTTGTCCCGCAGAAGGGCATTTATCGAATATTATTTAAATTTTGAATCTGGTTATTTGTTGTATAAATATATATATATATATATATTGTTTATTTGAATTAATATTTTAGAAATAATATTGATTTATATGTTTAGAATGCAATTTGAAATATGTTTGTAATTTATGTATGCTATTTAATGGTGTTTATAATATATGTAAGAAAGTATGATATTAATATTATTATATTTAATTATGTTATATTAATAATATATAATATATTATATATATATTATTTAAATATATTTGAATGATAATATAAGTTGTGTTTATATTTATTTTTATAATAGATAATTGTTTATGTATGGTTGATGGAAGGAAAATATATTGATAATATAGGATATATAATAGTGTAAAAAAAAATAAAGTATTGAAATTGATTGAATTTTTGAAATTAATTTAGGGTTTTATTTATTTGGTGTGTGATGGGGTTGATTTAAAAAATGAAATTTTATATTAAAATATTATGAAATATTTAAATAGATTAAATAAAAATTATTGTAAATATAAAAATAATGTATTATGAATAATATATATTTATAATAATATTAATTATTTGAAATATTTAATAACTAACAAAAAATATATTTATGAAAATAATATTAATTGAATAAATTATGTTGTTTAAAAAAAAAAAGAAAATAAATCCAAAACATAAACATTAAATATAATATTGTTAAAATGAAAATTTAATTAATTTATATATTAATAAATTTATTATAAAATAAGTTAAATAGATATAAATTTAAGTTACAAATAAATAAATATCTAAAACAAATACAAATATTATTAATATTTGTATTCTTTATAATTATGTTATAATAATTATTAATTGATTTATATTAAACAATTATTAAAATATTAGAGATAATTTAATTCGATTAATGGTAATATAAATAAAAGAAAAACAAATAGTAAATAAAAAAAGAAAATAAGAAATTAAAGAAAAAATAATATAAAATAAACATAAAGGAAAAAGGAAAAGGAAGAAAAAAAATGGTTAAAAATAGGAGGCAAAATAAAAAAAGAGAAACAAAAAAACGGAAAGAGAATAAAGACAAAGAAAAGAAAAACAGAGAGAAAAGCAAGCAAGCAAGCAAAAATAGTGGTAAAAACAACCAAAAATAAAAACAAAAGATAAAAACAAAAAATAAAATGGAATTTTAAAGGGAAAAATACGGCATAAAACAACATAGAAATATACCATTTTTATATACAAATAAATACCTAAAAAGAAAAAACAAACATAAATAATATTTTCAAACAAACAAACACAAACATACGGAAATAAACAATAAAATAAAAATAAACGATAAATACAAACACATAAAAACAAACAAAGACGAACCCAAACAACCCGAAAAACAGAAAAACACAAGCAAACAAACTAAAAATAAAAAACACAAACACCAAAAACAAATATACAAAAATACAAAAGAAAAACAAAAATTTTAAGATAAATATATATATACACAAAAAATACAAAAAGAAGCAAAGATTTACAAACACCAGCACGAATTAAAAATTATAATTTTTAAAATTAAGTAATTGTTTATACTAATAAATTAGAATTATAATGTTTCTGTGTTTTTTTTCGCAACACAAATTTCCATTTAATAAATCCCCCCAAAATTCTTATTTTATTTTTATTTTTAGTTTTCAAATATATTTTATTTAGAATTTTCATCATATAACCCAATCAATTTTTCAAAAATATTCAATTTTCAATCCTATATTAATTATTACCTTTAACCATATCCCTCAAACAAATAAAGAAAATCATGATCGATAAAAAAATCCTCCCAACCAAATTAAATTTTATCAAAATCTTAGATAACAAAGCCGGACAAAAAACATATAAATAGCAAAAAAAAAAAAAAAAAAAAAAGCAGAAACATATCATATATCTCAAAATTATTTTTTTTACAAAATACATTAATATAATTAATAAGGGTGTGGTCGGGTTAGCATTTGGGTTTCACTCAATCACTAGGTATATGGAGGATCCCAGTGCCTCGAATATAGCTTGTAAGACGTTCTGCTTGGACGTTCTTTTCACCGAGACTTATGGAGTCATTTACACTGCAGGGTTTCAGCTGTGAGCCCTCTTTTTCACTCCTCAGGAGGAAAAAAAAAAACTGGATCTTGCGGCAATGCACACACGCCAATGTCAGATGTCAGGAACAACTCAAGACGTGAGCAGTACAAAGAGTCTCCTGGGCGACGTTGCAACTGCTGCATCCATGTTGGCCAGGCGAGGCAGGCGAGTGACACATGAGGAAGCCACCGGGTGAAACGGGGCCAAAGAAGGCCGCCCGGGCCCCAAAGCATACTGATTGGCCAGCACACGAAACCTGAAGTGTGCAGTGGGTCTGCCCCGAGGCTTGCTTGGAATCCAACAAGCAGCGTGGCCAAAATGCATGAGCCGCGAGACTTCCCAAAGAAGCATCATGTGCTGGCTGCGGGTGGCACAAGTCTAAGAGCTGGGCACACTTTTGGAGATGAAGGCTCCGGCCTGACGATCGCAAACATACTGACACTGGAGCGCCATTAATGTGAGAGACTCTGCCCAGGTAGCCACAACAATGGCCCGAAAGTCGGCAAACCAGCGACTGTCTGCCAACAGAAAGAGAAAATGC